GAAAAAGCTTCTGACCTTAAAGCCTTCCAATCCCTCCACAAAGAATAGCATAACTCCGTTTCCCTCCCAAGACCTGTGACAGCTCTGGCCCACAAATGCACCCAGGTCACCTCTGAACAGCAGAGCATGAATAAGTCTCAACTTCATCACTGCAATGAGAAAGTCTTTCTGGAATCCAAGTCCTTCTGTGTTAATCTGAGTATTTGTTCTTTGCAGAAGGGTTTTGATAGCCTCTTGTTTCCTTTTTCCCAAAGCTTCGAGTAGTCCTAAGAGCAGTTTGTCTGTGCCTATGGGTCCACCTGTCTACGTGGACTTGGCCTATATCCCCAATCACTGCAGTGGGAAGAACACAGATCCAGAGTTCTTCAAGCGGGTTCGAGCATCGTACTATGTTGTGAGTGGGAATGATGCAGCCAATGGAGAACCGAGCCGTGCAGTGCTGGATGCGCTTCTGGAAGGGAAGTCTCAGTGGGGAGAGAACCTGCAGGTAGGTCATGGAAATGCAAAGGGATGTGTCATGCTCTTGATGTCACAAGTGCTCAGAAGAAGGTGGGTATCACAAACATTCCCGAGGGAGTACACTGAGAGGAAGCAAATGGTACTGGGTATGTCCTGTTTTGCAGTCTCAGCAAACTAATTGCTTGTACTGATGAGGAGGAGGAAGAGAACACTCACAAAATTGTATGAATGGAAGCAGATACATTCTCTTTTCCTCATCTTCCTGAAGGGAGGAAGCATTGAGAGATCATGCACTCCTCCTTACCTACTGCAGGATCAGTCTGTCCTCAAAAGTCCCAACACAAGCACCAACACAAACTGAATTTTCATCAGTGTCCCACACCCAGTAACATCTGTTGCTAGACTGACTTGCTGAAGATTTTTCTGGCAGCAACTTATTATTAGGCCTTTTAAATCAAAATGTTAGATAACACAGTTCTTGCTTAGCCAGCCTTGTAGCACACCCCAGGTGGGCACTCCTGAAGACACATACAAGAAGGTGTATATGTTCTTCCAGATGAGGGAGCGTCATAAAGTCCATGAGTTGCACACTGGGTCAATGGGCACATAGTGTCCATTAACAGTGACACTGCCAGTATTGTTCCTTTTCACACTGAAGGATCTTTCTGAGGCTGTTTCTGGAGCTCCAGAGCATGATGCTCTCCCCCTGCACCATAGCCATTCACATCATTATGGTATCAGTGCTGCCAGTTTGCAGCCAGTTCAGAGCCCCATTGTGCTGGTACTGTATGAAATAAAGCTCTGCCTCAGAATCCGACATCTGAAAGACATTAAATAGAACAAGCAGTACCAAGGGTACAGTGTTCCAGAATTAACAAGAAATTTTAGCCTCAGTTCCTATGGGCATTGCTTGTCACTGCAGTTGTTCTCAGTCATCCCTGCTGCTTTCTTTTCCCAGGTGACATTGATCCCAACACATGATACTGAGGTGACACGAGAATGGTATCAACAGACCCATGAGAAACAACAGGAGCTAAACATCATGGTACTGGCAAGCAGCAGCACTGTTGTGATGCAGGATGAATCTTTTCCAGCCTGTAAGATTGAATTCTAGATCTCCCACGCTTTGTCTTCATCCATTGACTCTTCAATCACTGATGCAACGTGCAAGACACCATCTAATCACAGTCCAGTTATTCTCTGGTTTCGTCCTCTACATGGTTCCCATTTGTCAGGCAATCAGGTATCCATCTTGCTCAGCACTGGATGCCATGAGGAAGAAGTGCAGGGCTCTCTAATTTTCTGGACTGAGCTAAGAGTTTGCAAAAGCAGTTGCAGGCCAGGGGCACTCACTTTCCCTGCTTTATTCTGCTGCCTGTACAGTTTCTGTAGACTATTTTGGCTGCCTTGCTGCTGTGAGAGCTTGTTCTACTCTCTTCCTGGCTGCCTTGCCATTTAACCTGTAGCACCATGAACCTCATCTTTCTGGTGAGGGCTGAAGTGCTGCTGCTGCATGCAGAGAGTGCATGGGAGACAGGGGGCAGAGGTGAAATTTAACTTGCAAAGAAATTGCACCAGGGATGTGAGGGAAGACGAAACCCTCTGTAATGTGACAGTGAAGGTCATTCTTCTATCTCCCCTCCTGAGCATACAGGAGGTATTCTGAGCAAGGGACCGTATGCTCAAATTAGACTCGACCACCCCATGCCAGCTTGGCAGATTTCTGTTCTGAGTATTTGCCTGCAGCATCCTGCAGCTCCTCTTTGCTGTGCTTAGGAAGCTGGGATGAAGGACATGCCCATGGGAGGGGAGGGCTCAGCACATTCCTAATCTGCTAACTTGAGCTTCGCACACACAGCAGCCAACAGGCTCCTGCACATCAASTGTGTGGCCGGAGGAGCACACAGAGCCTGTGGCCTGAACAGTTACACAGAACGAGCATCCAAACGCACAACTACAGCTCCCTCAACAGCAGAAGGGCTGACAAAACCTTAGCCACTGTTGGCCCAAGATGTACAAGAAACCTCCCTATCCCTAAACCAAAGGCTCTGGAGGACCTCTGTGGTGAGGCAGCTGAGGAGAGCGCAGTGCTGGGGAAGGCTGGAGTGTGCCAGCTCTGCATGCTGCAGCCACCTCCTCGCTGCCTGTGTGCCAGAGACCAAGCCTTACAGTTGTGTTCGAGCTTTTTGTTGTCCCCCAAGTGTCTAGGATGTGGGGAATAGAGCTTTCTTTTCCTCTGTTTGAGGAAACAGAAATGCTCCCAAAATACTTCCCAAAATACCCGGGTAGTCGTTCTCAGTTCTCCACACTGGCAGGGACAAGTTGACAGCACATGTGAGGTGCTGCCTTGCAGCTTGCACCACAGCCTGCGCCCACTGCRGCATCTGTCCCTGCTCTCTGGACATCCTGGCAGAAGCACGGTCGTGTGCTGCCGTGCACCGCGGCCACCGAACGGCCACCAGAACCTCCTTGGCACACAGACCTGTTTCAGCCTGGGAGACCCAATCTCCCAGCACGAGGTGTGGGTGCTCAGGTGCACTGAGCTTGCTGCATTCATAAGGGAATGGCTTTGCCACAACCAAGGGAATTGACAGAGGGTCTTACCATAAAGACAGCTTTTATCTTTCTGTAAGACAAAGAGAGTGGCAGCAGCCTGTGCTCTGGGGAAGAAGGAACGAGATAGCTGTGCTGAAACACTTGACAATTAGCACAATGTGTTTCCATCTGCTGTGACATCCACCGTGCTTGGACCCAAGTGGAGGACTGACTCCACCATGAGCATCCTCGGACCCTGTGTTGCACTTGCCTGGGACATTTCAGTCTCAGTGCTAGTTTTCTGGCAGGTGACATAAAGAAAATGCTGCTTAGAACCCTGCTCCTAGCACTAACATGGAGTTTCTAGGGAAATGGTCTGATTTGCATTTTAATTTATATATTTATTTTTTTAATGTTAAGCTGCATTTTCTGTTGTTTTAGTATTTTAATTTATACATGTTAACATGATACCATGTGCTTTTAGTGTCCGTTCAGAGGTTTCTCAGTACAAATACTAACATGCTGTAAATTAAACAATATGGTAAGATCAGAGAACATCTCTGCAAGGCTGTGTCTAAAACCCAGCAGATGTAGGACAAGGCCTGAGGCCAGCAGCCTCCCCAAGGCACCGCCAGCCCTTTGGATATGGCCCTTGTTAGGAGCATGTGAGCTTACTCAGGGCTTTAGCAAATCCCTGCCCTGTGCTGTGTTCATTTTAACCACTGAATCACCCTGTGTCTGCCAGCATAATAAATGTCATTCTCTGTACCCTGATGGGGTCAGCGTTCATGAATGTTGCTTCTGGCAATTGCAGGCACTAAAACACCTGCCCCTGCCCCTCCCCAGAATGCCGGGGTTCTTTTGCCCGCAGCACTTTGGGGAGAGCCCGGCTCAGCTGCCGCGGTGGCAGCTGCAGTGTGCCACACACCAGAGGCACAAGCGTGGTCCTCGCTGGCTCCCRGGATCCCAACGCGTAGCTAGATGTAAAAGCTAATGCACTAACTTTAGATAGACCCACACATGAATGTTTTCTCAATCTTAAACTTGAAGCAATTCTGACTAAGCAGCAGTAACAGTGAGGCTTGTGAGGTGCCTGCATCCTCCAGGCAGGAGTGTGGCCACTGGCGGATTGCAGGAGGAACGCTGCCCTCCACGCTCTGCTCTTGCCCTCCGCAGCTCTGTTGCTTGGCCACCTTTATCCTACACTGCTTCCCTGTGCTCAAGGCTCCACTTTTTTTTTTTCCAGTCTTTCGTAGCAGTCTGTTCTGCCTTGAGCTTCTCTCGCTCCCTATCTCCCTCGCCCCCCCACCCCTTTCCATCTTGAAAAAACTACGGGGAAAAAGACTTGTGAAAATGCTGATTTGTACAGTCTGACCCTGCTCAGGCCACAGAAGCCAGCAGGACCCACCCGGAGCCAGAGGTAATACAACACAATAAACAGTTAAACTCTGCTTTTGCTTTTTTTCTGCATGTGGGCAACAATGCATAATCTTCCTGTATGTAATAGGTAAAAAATACTATTTTAAACCTATAATTAAAAAAGTGAACGTCTTAACTGTATTGAAATGGCATCTTGTGCTCCTAGCTTCTTCTGTGCTAAATGTTTTAAGAACAGAGCCCTGATTCTTTTCTTCAGCATCATATTTCTATTTGAATTCAGTTCCTTGAGTTCTGTTCTTCTGCCCATTTCCACATGAAACACTCTGTAACTAACTGCGGTCAAGAGAGGAGCCCAACACATTAACAATAAAGCCACATTAATTGCAAACAAGAACATCTGCACTGATTTCAAGCTGTTCTTACAGTGAGTCCGTGCTGCAGGCAGCAGCACACAATGTCTGCCACGCCATCCTCCCATGCCTCCCAGTTTAGGTGAGCCCCAGCTCTCCCACCAACACCCCACCTTCACCAGCAGCTGCTAAAYCTTTCTGTGACTCGGAAAGGGATCGCACAGAAGCCCCCAGAGGCTGCCTGGGACAGGCACTATCCCTGCCCTGGCCCCAGCAGGGCCTCTCTACAGCTGCCTGAGGGCTGTGGAGGGGAAAGCAGCTCCTGCTAATGGCCACAGCCCGTCTGTCCTGCAGCACCATGGCAGGGCAGGGGACAGCACAGGACACTCGTGCTTCTCAGTTGCCCACGGTCCCTCAGGCAGTGCTGGGGCCAGGGCTGGCTGCAGCCCCTYGAGCAAGGTGTCTGTGGAGATGTGGAGGGTGGGSAGAGCAGAGGGCAGGGCAGGCACAGCCTGACTGATGGCAGCGGGCTTGGAGTGCCCCTCACSCCGTGCTGCACTCTGGGCAGCTGCGTGACTGCTCCATTCCCAGTGCAAGTAAACGTCACCTTTCTCAGATGCCCAAACTGGCAGCTCGGGATTGTTGGGCGTGAGGAAGAGGACACGACACCAAGGATGTGCTCGAAGTGACGGGCAGCTGGCGACCAAGTGAAAGGAGCTGAACACGCCATCCCAGTGTCTTCATTCCACCACAAACCACCGTGGGACCTGGGAAGCCAGGATCTCTTCCCCAGTATGACCAGTTCTTCCACACAGGAAAAAGAGGTACATGGCCTTAAGCCTGTGCACTTATTCCAGGTGTAACTGCAGCCACAGCCGCTCTTCCAGGAAAACAGAGCGTGAGCAGGGCCTGCTGTTCCAGGCACCTGCAAGCTCTGGCACACACACAKTGCTTCCAAGGCAGCATCAGACACAGACACACTGGACCCACAGCGTAGATTTACTGTGAACACACATCATCACAACACAGCGTAGAGATCTTTGGGCACAGCTTCACAAAAACACAGATCCTAGCTACAGATGGACACGCAGACTTGTCCATAAATACAGGAGTGGGAAGCGCAGCCCTGGCCGGCACTAAGGATGCGGCAGGGACAGGACACCCGTATCAACCTTGCCCTCAGGCTTGTGCTCACAAGGCATTTACATAAATATGCATTAAATACTTTTCATTTTATAATAAAGATTTATCCTTATTGGTTTCTAATAGTCCTGAATTGTTAAAATACCAGTTTCTTTTAATCCCTGCCACCAAAACTTCAGAGCTGTACCCTTGGGGATGAGAAAAAAAACAAACAAACCGTGTGTGCCCTCCCTACACACCTGTCTCAGGCTGGATCCCCAGCCCAGTAGGGAAACATCCAAGGCCATGCCAAAGAGATGTTTCCGTGCAAGCGGCACTCAAACCTGATGCCCTCATTTACCCTTCTTTTCCATGTTCATTGAGAATACTTTCTGTTTCTGCTAGTCTTCCTGTCGTGGATTCTCTGGACCTGATATTGGTGGCCAGCAGTGGGAACTGAGAGAGGAAGAAGGAAGGAACAGGAGGTTGGTGGTTGTGACAGATCCGATTAATTTGGGCCCAGAATGCCCTTTTCTGAAGGCTGCGAACCAAACAGTCTCAAGGGAACATCTGCCCCCTTTGGACGTACCATGATAAAAGCCTTGGCTGTAGCAGACCTCTAATGCTGTCGTCCCAGTGAGCACAAAGCCCTTGGGACACCAGTGCAGCACCATGTCCCTGCCCCATGGAGGTGCCACACCAGTACCAAGACTGCACTGTCTTTCATTTAATGAGGCAAACATTCCTGCTGAATGGCGAAGAGCTGGCTTGTGGAGGAGCAAAGCAGACTCTTCCACACCACAGACTCCTGTGGCCCTGGGACCTGGCTTCTTCTTTGCTACGGACGGCAGCTGTGTGAGGTGCCACACAGGCAGCTGGGCTGCTTTCATGCTAGAAGTGCTTGCAGTGTGCTGTCCAGTGAGCCACTAATTCTGCTCTTCCTTCTGAGACAGCAGCTGCAGTTCCTCCACGTTTTTGTCAGGAGGCAGTGGCTGCACCTGGCACAGGTGGTCTGACAGAGCACTGTCCTCTAGAAACTCCTTGCCTGTATGCTCTGGCTCCAACACCTCTCCCAGCAGCTCCACTTCACGGGGCACCAGCATCTCCTTGGACAGCCCAGACTGATCCAGGCCAGTCATTCCCCTGACAGATTCCTCATCTGGCTTTGCTCTCTCCTCAGCCAGCCTCAGGTCAAACCCTTTACCACACTTCGGGTTTCCTGTGTTGCTTGGCTCTAACATTTCCCCAGATGATTTTTCTTCATCCAGCTCCCCCATGCTCTTCTCTTCTGGGTTAGTGTCCTCTTCCAGCTCCTTCTTGCACAGCTCCAGGATCCTGCCAGGCTCTGGGCCCTTACTCCAGATCAGGGTCTCTGGGGCACTTGGCTCTGTTACCAGCAGCGCAGACATACCCTGCTCCAGGCTAAGCCCTCTGCTGGGAAGCTGCCTCTCCTCCTGCTCAGGGGACCTGATTGTCAGTTGCTCCTCACTTTTTGGGGGGCTGATGGGAAGCTTCTCAGTGAAGCTGAAACGAGCACAGTTGTCCACAGAAGTTGGAGAGGAAGGGCCTGCACTGGAGACAGTGCTGGAGGGACCACTGCTGTCTGCAAAAAGGAAGAAAAATCTTAAAACATGTTATTTCCCCATCTGAACTGTCACAGTCCCACAGTTCTACAGCCAAGAGGTCAGGGCTGTCTACATGCCATGTGACCTGTCAGGGGCTTGTAGCAGCTCTTGGGTATTTCCTGCACTTCAGCTAATGAAAACCGAAGCACACAGAGCACAATTCCATCCTGTAGTCCAGTGCTATGTTGGCATCCTGCCAAAAGTTCATTCTGTTGTTACAGAGCAAAATGTGAAGTGTGATGTTTGGCTTCAAAACAAAAACCACTTTCTTTCATTCCCTTACTATTATGGAGCAATCCCAGCTTCAGTTTGCCCCTCCTGGTTCCTGACACACACAATCCTTGAGTGTTGAGTAAGAGTCAACACTAGAGAAAGAAATACTCTCTACTAATGCTTACTCTTGCCTTATATTGCACATTGAGCAAAACCAGAGAACAGATCTAGATTGTATCTAATCCAATAAAGGAAGAGGATTAGACAACTGTTTCCAGCCAGATTGGTTTCCTGACCTTGCTGCCTTCACAAACTTCCCTCCCTCCCCAGCACATTTGCCCCTGACCAAGAAGGGAGCACACTCACACCAAGGGGGCTTATCCGAACGCTGGCGCAACGGCAAGGAGGATGATGACAGGATTCGCTGGGACATAAAGGGGTCTCCTGTTATCTGGCTGCCAATCATTGAATCAAACAAGGCTTCAAGAAAAAAAATACACATATCAGTAATAATCCAACAGACATAAAGGACTAGCTAGTAGCGCAGCAGCCATGAGCAGGCATTCCAGGAAGAGCAAAAGACCAGTGCAGTTCAGAGCCATGCCCATCAGCTCCTGGGAATCTGAGGCTAAGATTTCCAAAGCTGGAGTTTATATTCACATCAATATTAGCTATATACAGACTTGACTGATTACTTTTCAAGTGCGTGGCCTAGGATGGCTCTGAGCTGGGCCCCATGGCTCCTTCCTGAGCTAGAACATTCCGGGACAGGCTCCAGGGACTGCACCTAATCTGCAGTCCTGTCAGGCTGATCTGTCCTGAGAATGTAAAAGAGCAGGAGTGCTCCTTGCCCTGCCAGAGACAATCCCACCCGAGCAGTACCTGCGGTGGACTGTGCATGCGATTCACTGCAACTCCTGCACACGCCCGTCAGGAACTCGTTGACCTGCCGCAAGGAGAGGGAGTTGTGCAGGGTCTCCAGGGGATAAATGGTGGGAACCATGGAACAGCCTTCAAAACCTGGAAAGAGACCCAATCAGAAAATAAATAAAGGAAACAGCAGGGTAAACCCATGCAGGAGCACTGATGGCTGAAGAGCTGGGCACTCTGGGAATCAAACCACAGGCACACTCAGGCCTCAGGCCATCTCTTCTAGGCCAAGGAAATCACCACGATGCAATCCCATGCAATAACAGATCTGAAAGCAAGCACCTGGGCACACATGAAGGGGAGAGGAGGAAACGTATCTGTCATTTTTGCTGCTGCTGAGCCTGTGACAATTCTGCTAAAATACACAGAGAGCTTGGCACAGAACTTGGCAGTGTCCCCACTTACAGAAGCCAAACGGAATCGAAGCCAACAGAATTTCCCCTAAAGGAGTCCCACTGCTGGTGACCCCCACCTGGCACAGCCCCTTCTCCCCACAGCAGGGAGCTCACAACTGCAGCAGCCACAAGGAGCTGCAGAACCAACCTGTCACAGCAGTCCCCTGTGCACCCCTGACAGTCTATGGCCAAAGGAAGGGATGGGTAATGATTTAAATTTTTGTCCCCTTAACTAAACTTCACTGCCAGCAAACCCAGAATGAGCAGAAATAGGCATCTCAGCATTTAATAGACAATTGCTCAGAGTTAAGCTGCATCACAACTATTCAGAATAAATCTTGTGCTGCTCAAGCCAGCAGAGTATCATGGCAAAGTATCTTCTTTCTTCATCCCACCTTCCTGAAAATGCCTTGTGGAACCAAGTCAACCTGAACTGCCAGAGAAGCAGGGAAGAAAGAGGTAAGTCCCTGGATATATGGAATGAAGCTGCCTCCTGCTCTGTACCTCTCCAAGTTTAATGGCCTCTCAACTCCTTAAGGCTGGGCTTCCCATTCTGTAACTGCCCAGTCTTCTCCAAGGACTTTAAAATCTAGGAAGGAGATGGGTTTGTTGCCACAGAGAACGAAAAATACTTTAAAATGCAAACAGTAAGGGAGCTTTTGATGCAGTCTGTGTCAGAATATCTGCCCAGCACACTGACAGGACAAAACTGACACCTGCAGCACCTCAGGAGAAGCCCTGAAGCACCTGTTTGTGAAGTGCAGGCTCTGCTCCAACACCCTCATCTAACCCAGTTCTGCAAGAGGCAAGGACCGTGAGCCAGTGAAGGCATTCACTGCAATAAATAACAGTTGCTGGAGATAAAGAATCCTCCATAGAGCTCACAAGGTTATCTATGCCACAAAGGGCCTATAAACATAGTTCAAGACAGGAAGGAAAACAAATTCTTGGCTAGAATGAAGAAATATGAGACACAGTAAAAAGACCATGTTCTTCTATCGGTTGCTGAGAAGTCTTGAGAGTGGAAGTGCTGAGTAAGGAAGAATGTACATTCTTTATTTTCCCATAGGCCTTTTGGGAGATAGAGCTAAAGGAAAAGGGTGAGGGCAAAACTTAAAGCAATCATGGGAGAAGGCTGTGGAGCAGCCCAGTATGAAGCTAATGTCATTTCACAACAGAACCTGGTTTGAGAGGGGCCAAAGTTGGCTCGGGTATTGGGGTCTCCAGCATTAAAAGAAACATGAGACACTGACACATAGCTGATGTGAAATTATACACACTGCACTGCACCCCTCTTGAGCAAGCATCAAAAAATGGACAAAGTTTCCTCTTTCAAGGTGGAGGAGTACTGTGTCCAAGGAGTCCCTCTCATTTGTATATGGGAGCTCACTTCTTCGCACATCTCCCTAGACCTGCTGAGTTGCTGGGGAGAGGCCAACAGTGGCTTCATGCCATAATGGCACAGCAAAGGCAGCAGCTACCACCATGGACTGCAATCCCTACCCATCTCCACACAGTTAGCAAAGAACCAACACYTTTGGGACAGGGCAATAAAAATAAAACATGAGAGCAAGCCACAGGAACCATCTCAGACTGACAGACAGCCTGTGCTGACTGTGCAGCCACTGCTGATGCTCCCCCAAACTCTCTCCGGGGCCTGCAAAGCAGGAGTCTGCRATGCAGACAATGCCAAGAGAAACTGGACACAATTCCATCCATTTTGGACCAACATCCAACAGCAGCCCACAGAGGAAGGTCTGTGTGCCAACGGTTTATATGCCAGCTCTTCTGGAGTGAAGAAGCACTTGTCCAGTCTCAGCACAAACAGAAGCACCCACCAGGCTCCTCTCTGACATGCATGATCAGTCCAGCCCTGTGTTCTTGGAAGAACTCCAACATGCCACATGTATATTGTATATGAATGGTTACAAGTCTAGACAGCACCAGTGACACACARCTCAGAACTGCTCTCTTGTATCTCTTCCATATTCTCATCTTCCCTTGAACTCAGTTAAGCTCCCAACATCCCCAGGTACCATGGTACAGAGCTTGGAAAAAAACTACTTCTGTCCAAAGTGTCTGAACTCACTCTGTTAGAAACCTCCTCACTTCTGGAACTACAAAAACTGTGGATCCCCACCACTCCCCTCAGACCCCTTGGACCAATATTACAAACGTTCTTCCCAGATTTCTAATTTTGCAAATTTCTACCTTTTCACATTGTCCCAAGTAGTGAYACCAGTCATACCAGAGCCCACTATTTTACGTGTAAGAGTTTGGGGCTGTTTCCCTTTGTCATTTAAATTTATTTACACAGGACATCACCTGCTATTTTCTTGCTCATCCTGATAGGACCACTCTCTGTTTCTCCACAGTTGACCTTTGGCTTCAGTACCAGTGTGATTCATTACAAAAACGAACTTCACACTATTCTTTTTCCCAGCTATGACCACACAGACTACCAGACATTTTTTCAGGGCTCCACTGTTGACATCCTTCCAACTACAGATGCCAACTGCGTACTTTTGACTCACTGATTCTACCTTCTAATTCATGTTTCCTTTGTGTGGATAGAAGTACAGTGGAAAGCCAAGAAAGAGAGGATAAAAGAATGCAGTTTTCACAAGGAAGAAACCTGGACTGTCATCTGCTCTGAGCAGAGCCTCAGCAGGAATCCCAAACACATCAGTGAGCTTTGGGCTTGCTGATGGACTGGGAAAACAGCATGAACTCGGTGGCGGAGATTTGATTTCCACCCRGGAGGGCTGCTGTGCTGGGCTACTYAAGGAGTACCTAACTCCTTTGTTTGGCTGTGTTGGGGCAGGCTGCAYATCCCAGCACCTTGCAATGGCCCAAAGCAGTGAGGTGATTTCCTCTCCCCASCTGAGCTCATGCACATGGCCAAGACTCGCAGCCGGGAAAGCTCAGCCCTGGCTCTGGACAGTCTGCTGTGATCCAGCATCTCCTCCCTTGAAGCGATTCCGCTCCTCTTTAGCATTTGTTGCCAGGAGACCGAGGATTGTTCTAATTACATGTAAAAAGCAACTACTGTCTCCAAATTGCCTGCTTGACAGAAAGGGCCACACCACAGAAAAACAGACCGTGTAAGAAAAATTGTCATCTTCCAGTCTCTGAAAATGTTCGGTCCTGCTGCTTCACTGCACAGAAGGCTGTACTCTCTGTGCCCCTTCCACCTGTGGGTCTGAATGGAAAAGGGGGTCCATGCATCACACCACACAGCTCAGCAAGCCACATGCTCCGAGCAGCTTCTACGGTGCAGGTAAACCTCAGCAGCCAGCCCCAGCTCACTGCTTTGTTCAAGGGAACAGCAATCTTTCCACCTGTGTGAGAAGCACCAAGGCCTCCATGCACCAGACTTCCCATCTGTGACAGAGGCTGAAAAACAGCAGAGAAACAGCAGCAAGCTTTGATTCGTAACTTCTGGATTCAGTGCTGCAGTCGCCTGCCTCTTCCCACCAGAGACAGGACACGCTGAGAGGTCCTATCAGGAAAGGCAGATGCCATGCAGTGCAGCCACACAGAAGCTCAGTTCTACCCTGTCTTAACTCAGYCTCCCTAGAAACAACACACCCACAAGCACTCACTTTCCCAGAACTTCCACAGCAAGTTCACTCAGCATGTGACCAGCTGCAGTGCCTCCTTAATCTTTTCTTCCCATACTCTCACTACTCACTTTGGTTCCTCCATTACTAAGGGGACACCCTGTGGCAGCCCCCCAAGACCTGCACGGCGTATCCTGACAGCAGGGCATCCCACTGATAGGAGCTCAGCACCTATCCTGAAGGAAGCTTAAGGGCTTACCCTGGCTAAAGGAAGGAGGCAACAATTGCCGTAGATGGAAAGAGCAGGTACAGGCACACAGGGAGTATAGGCTCTGTGTGGAAATGCTCCTGCCTAGGGCTCCAAAACTGCTGGTACAACAGCCCACACAGCTTGCTGCAGCAGCAGTCCAGAGACCTGGGGATTTGGTGAGGGAAACACTTTCCTTTTTTAGAAGCAAAGCATACTTTGCACTCTCAAGCAGACAGTGGTCCCTGCTCAGCTACAAGAGCATGGGACAGAGGCAGCTGCAGCGTGCAGTACCGTAAAGACACTCCAAGTCATCCTGCCCTGAGATCAGCCAGCTCCTGAAGAGGCGCAGGTGGTAGGAGCACTGCTGCAGGTGATGGGCTAGGGTGGCATCCAGGGAGATGGTCCGGCTCGTGGCACAGTCAGAGGAAAAACGGCGTAGCAACTGGGCAACGTGCTGGTGCTCCAACACATCTGGAGGAAAGGGGCCACAGAGAGTGAGAGGAGAGGGGCAGGTACAGCTGGGGACACAGAAGCTGTGGAGATGTGGGGATGGAGCTGCCAGCACCAGGGCTGCTGGGTGAGAAGGACCCAAACCACACACTAAGCCCAATCCCTCCCACAGTGAGCAGGTGAGGAATGCCCTTAAGAGTTACGTCCCCGCAGTGATACCAGGGCAGAGCAGACTCCCACCTGGCCCAGGCTTCACCCAGCTGTGGCTCAGAGCAGTGCCAGGCACTGAGGGCTCACCTTTGTAAGCGAAAGTCGGACAAGTGAATAAATTTTAGAACACATTCCAAGTCCAATGGAGTTCAGGTTTGGCTAGGAAAGATCAGGCTCAGGGCCAGACTGGCCCTCCCGCGGCTGAGACAAGAAATCCAGACTGCCAACAGAGTGTTCGAGTCCTGCATCCAAGCACAGCCAGGCACATCAGCACGTGGAGAGAGCAAATGGCCTAGCATCAAATGAGAAGAGGCTGTGCAAGGGACCTGGGGGACAGCAGGGCCTGGCTGAGAGCCAAGTGCTGAGAGTGCAGAAGAACAGAGGGAACACAAAAGCACTGACTTTCCCTCTCTCTGAGAACAGCCCTGTGCAATCTTCTGTGATATCCTTGCGTGGCAGACAAGGCACCAGCATGTAGGCATGTCTTCTCCCCATACACAGCCTCAGGACTCATTGCACACGCCCCAAACTTGTGTGACCAGGGCATAAACCATCTGGCCTGATGCTGTGCTTGACCACTATTCTGGTGCACCCATTCTATTTCACACATGGAGGCAGCTCTTCAGAAGCAAAATCCAAACTCAGAGCTAGGAACAGTTTTTGCATTCAGTTTTTGTGAGTGGTTCATGGGATAAACATCCCTCCTGTTCAAAACAGTGCCAAGCCTACACCAAATAAACCTGACTTTTGAGCTCTCACATGCTGGACCCCTGTCTGTGTTTTCTTGATTAAAAAGCACTTTGACACTAGACATATTAATCAGTTTTTTGGGAGAAACATGATGCCCAGTTTCACCCTATCATATCTGGAGCAGGGGCAACAGCTTTACAGCATGTCCTAGGAAATGCTTGAACTTGGTACAGCCTTTGCAGGCAAGATAGAACAACACACGCTGCTGACATACACCACATGGGCTCAGATGCTGTCCAGGCATACAGACAAACCAAGCAGTTGGCCACTCTGGGAAAAGCAAAACCAAGCAAATACGGAGAATAGGTTCCCTTTAGTTATTTGAAACAGTAAAGCCACAGTGAGCTGCCCTTTCCATTTCATCCTTCCCAAAACTTTGATTTTCAGAACAGCCTTCTGAATTTCATTTGTCTTCCAGACTACATCAAGCAGGATGTCTTCATATTTGCAAGCTGCCTTGATCACGTAAGGCAGAAATACTTGGTTGCGTTCAGTGATCTCCTTTGGTTCCAACTTGTCTCAGCAGCAGGAGCCATGCAGGAGGAGGGGTGCTGTGAAACCTTTTTAAAAGTATCTGTGCAAGAGTTGGATAGTACATACTGGTTCAAGACACCTGCTACAACAGAGCTAGCAGCCTATAACCTCTCACACTCACACTCTGGTTGTTAGGCTAGAAGCAACATGGAGTAGAGATAGTGAATTAGCAGAAACTCTGTCAGACTTCAGTCACCAAGCCTTCCCAGAGCTACAGGCAGGATGGGGTGAAGCTGGTGACACCACCCCAGGTAGCAGGATGCCCATCCCCTGCCCCCGAGCCAGCACTGTCCACCAAAAGCAAAGTGAGAGCTTTGGAAGACACCATTAACAGGATGATGTCTGCAGAAAAGGTGAGCCTACCAGCACCAACATCACCAGGCTTGGAGGAAGCACAGGACCAGCCTACAGACAGGTTTGACAATGTGGAGGAGGCCATGAGGCTACCAGTACTCCTGATTTGCAACACCATGTGCACCTCTTTCTCTCCCACTGTACACTAGGCCCTTCCAGGTGACACATGGCTGTCCTAGGGCTATTCTTCTTTTCATTCTGCAAATCTGCAGTGTAGAAACTGAGGACCTAAGCTGCTGATGCTTCATGATATGGAGTGGGTATGTGTCCCCAGTCCAGTGGTATTCTTCCCCTGATCCCCACCCTCCCAAAAGAGAGCACGACAGAAGGCCTTAATGTCACAGTGGAGTTAAAGGCCACTTGAGCAGTGCACTCACAGAGCCATGGCTTTTGTCTTTTCACCTGGGACAAAAACRCCTCAGGGGAGAGCAGAGGCACCACCGAGCAGTAACAGGGGATGAGTGAGCACATTAGTCACAAGGAGACAATGGAGGAAAGTGAAGCATGTTTGGACACCAGACACACAAACACAAAAAACCACCAGRAGGCTGAGAGGAGAACATGTGCAGAGAAAACTGAATGTGGGAAGGGAGTTAGAAGCGTGAGGGAACATCAAATCAAGGAAGCAAACATACCATTAGTCGGATGCTTTGCAAACGACACAGAAAATCGTTTTACGGCTGGCATAGACAAGAGCTCTGAGGAAATAAAAACAGATCATCGCAGTTAACAGCCTGCTTCAAAGCATCCCCCGACCTTCATATGCTGGATTACCCTTCCAGGTTCACCTTCCTGACCCCACAATAGCTGCTCCCACTGGCACTGGGGTAGCATCCGACACTGCACTAGTGAGTGTGCATCTCCCCAGCCCCTGCACCGCCCTGCCAGGG